GTATATACCACACGAGTGGATAGTGCTTTTCACGCGCGTTGATCGGCTGAAGTGACCGGAAGTGATTTACAAGTACTATTCGCCTCCAAGCAGCCAAAGAGACAACATCGCGCATCAACAATTCAATAACCAATCACCAACCATATATATATCGGCCTTCTGGGCCTCATCTCATATATATATTTATATATACCACTATTCACCTTCATTATTGTGAATAATTTAACATTGGAGCGTTTTCAAGCTTTAAATGAACTTAAAGTATTGCTTGAATGGCCGAGAACATTCCATATCTAGGGGTAAATAAACAGTTATCGTTTTCATCACCTAAAAGCCACATAATTGAAGGCGGTAAAAGGCAACGGATGACTCGGTTATTCATCAGGAAGTGCTCTTCCTGTCCTTTGTTATTGACACGGTCTGTTTTAAGAAACAGGTTTTAGAACAGATATTAAGTTCGGAAAACCCACGATCGCCTAATTTGCAGAACGTTTTCACGCCAGAAGCAATGTTTTGGTCAAATATATCCTGGCGGTTGGCTACATCTAAAAAACAAAATTCGATATCGGTGAAAAGAAACTCTTGATATCTTGATAAATTAGGCTCCTCTAAGACGATTACCAAATATGGAAATCACCTTCTTATTCTTGTTATAAAAGGGTACAAAATGTACCATGCACCTAAGCGTGCGACTCAGAAGAAGGGAGGACTTCGCCATGAACAGCTTCCTCCTTATCGCTGTGTATGGAGCGACTCTTGCTATCGCTTTAGCATTTACTTTTACTGAATACGGAAACGAAAAGAACACGACAGGCTATAAAAAGTCTCATGATGACTTTGAACCGGAATTTGAAGATGCTTTAAGGTACTGTAGTTAAGTAGAAATTCACTCTAAAAATCACATTTATCACCACCAATTAAGCACACAGGCGAGAAGAGATTTCAGCCTCATCGAATTTGACTTCGACCGGTATGAAAAAAACAAAAATGGGCTCTGAGAAGCTATATGATATTTGGAGAATTAAGATGGCCTAACTTTACAAACAACTTATTCAGCTCTATCAGTAATGTTGAAATAGTCTTTCTTAGAATTTGTCATTCTTTGTGTGGTAGCCAACTTGGTTAGCTGAGGTAGTGAAGTTTCATATGTGTAGCGAACTTGTGGCAAACATCAAGCGAAACCGATGTAAATTCATCATACTCCCAAAAACTATGCTTATTTTAGAGACGACTTCTCCCGCATTAGATAAACCTTAGACAGTGCAAGTCTGCTGGGAAATGCGACGATGGGTAGCATAAATAGCTCGTTGGATATAAACGATATATCGAGGAAGCAAAATTGTTGTTGAGCTGAAGCGATATATATCGTTTGGCTTAAAGGATATATCGCTATATATCGAAAACGATTATTTGCTTGGAGCTTAAGGATGGATCAGCGATTTGTAACGGCTGTTGTTGGAACAAAAGCCCTGCGATACATCGCCAATCTATCATTCCAACTGAAATATTGTTCAAATATTGCTGATATATCGGGATTATCGCAATAACGACGAGTATCGTTTGCGCAGTACCGTAATATCACAAAATGGAGGCGTTTTGAACCGAATGACTAACTGGGTTAATTGGCTTTATCATAGAGTAAAAGGATACAGCAACCACAGGAGATTAAAAACTGTTAATAATCTATTTTCAGCCGAATATGTTAATTTACAAAGGTTTATTATATATATATATATATATTTTTTTTTTTTAATTTTAATTTTTTTAATTTTTTATTTTAAGTGACTTGAATAGGAATGCTGAGGATTATGGCTTCTATAAAAACGAACCAGAAGCTGACATCGATGATGAAAAAGACGATAACGAAGGCGAGGAAAGCGATGTTTTGGATTTAGAGAAGAGAGCACCGGACCCCAAATCGCGGAAAGGGCACCCCCGCAGGTCTCTCATCCGTCCAAAAGTAGGACGAGCCCTATTGCGCCGCCGCCGTTCAGGAGTACGCCGTCGGCGTAGAAATGGCTAAAGTATGTCAAACAGTTGATATCCATGAAGTCGGTACGTGTTAAGTCCTCAGCTGCCTCCAAGTAACTTTCCTTCAAAAATTGTAATCAATTCAGTAGGGGAAAAGCTTTGTTAAGGGTTCTTAACTCTCACATGATTGGCCTTGGTTTGATTACCTTACCCGGTGTCACATTTTGATGTAGTTTGTTTCCTTTTCTCTTACCCATTCCGAAGGATTTCAAATTGGTTTAATGGTTTTCGTAGTTTCACCCCCCTCCCCCATTTCCTCCTAACAAACATCGCACTAGTAATTCCAAATTAATTGGGACTTCTTCAATGCATGGTTTCATGCGACTGAGGTATTTAACTGTTTCACATTATACGGTCGCACAAGCTATAATGAATACTAAACCATTGAATAAAACCCAGTCGTAGGTTATCCTCACCTTTGCAATTAAAGACATTTATTATACATATACTGAACACCAGGGGACCCTGCATTATCCTTTGATTAATAAATTTGTCTTCATTAATATTGGATCCTTTTATATCAACAGATTTATGAAGACCGTCCGAGCTCGAAGACTAAAGAAAAATTTAATTTTAAAATCCTTCTCTGCAGTAATGTGTGGCCATGACAAAGAAATATTATTTAAATCCTAGCTAAGCTTAGAAATAGTTTTATTTTCATTATACTAGAACATTTCCTTTCAAAGTAATGTAAACGTGGGCAATAATCAAGAAATGTAATTCGCGTATTTTTGTGCTCAGTTGAGTGAAACTTTCCTTTCTTTTTTCAAGCGTATTGACTCCTAGTATCGAAGTCATTTTCCTACACGGTCTTACAAGATGTCATCACTTAACGGCGACAAAATAAAAATTGTATATTAACTAAATTGATTAAGATCAGTTATTTAGGGAAAACAAATTTAGAAAATTTCAAAGCGGGTCATTTGGAGAAAAAAAAAACATGTTAATTGCTTTGTCAGGAGGGTAGGTAAAAGGAAAAAAAAATAAAGGAGCTTTAATTTCCCCAAGAGGATACAAACTACAGATATTCGAATTTTAAATTTTAATGCCACCCTGTGAGCGTTATGTGCTAGGTCAAAATGTATGAGGAGTTCATTTCATTCTACATATGATATCCTTTACCAGCAAACGATACAAATCTCGTTTTACATCGGCGAAGATATATTGAATAAGATGTATTCTCTCATTGTGAATATCGGTAACATGTGACATTTCCAAACGCGGAATACGATTGCAAGAGAGAAAGAAAAAAAACCATGATGAATTGGAATAATTTCGATAATCAAAATTGGCGTGAAAGGTTCTTCGAGAATGGAGGGTTCTCAATGGTTTACTTATGCTTGGAAAGTTTTGGGGGAGTGTTGCATGACATTCCAATTCTAAGACTACAAAACCCTTACATTTGAACCGCTAGAAAAGTCAATTAATCTAAAAAGTGTTACTTCCCATTATAATAAAATTCGGATACAACGTGCGCTGCCATTGGTTGAAAGAGCGTGCTCTAAAGCTGTCACGCCATCTGCCAAATTGTACTATGTTCGACTTTTTCCGGGACTTCTTTTTAGCTTTTTTCCGATAATTGAAAGTGACATTTCGGAATAAGCGAGCTGGCAAGTAGCAACAGAAGAACCAAACAAAGGTTTGTAAACATACCAGGCGCCGTAATTTACGTTATTAAAACGTGAGCAGATACGAAAACCCACAAAGGAAAAACAAAATTGACATTCCGAAACTGGCATAACTGTTAAAATTTCTCTAATCATGACGGTGTCTGAGCGAATATGATCATGCTGAAGTCCA